ACAGAGTTTTAGTTGCTGCCTGTATGCACGAATCAGGTGGACCAAGGGAGTTCTGTGCGAGCCGAACAGCCCCGTGACCCACAAGAGAAACATCCCCGCCAAATTCGAGCGTTTGACGGGGTCTATCCGTGAAAAAATATTCACGTTTTTGAGTGCACATGCATTTCTGCTGCAAATGCCTCTGGAAGTTTCATGCCGTTCGTATGCCAATTGTGGCAACACGAAAATGACCCGTTTTCCCATTCCGAGGGATTTCTGTGCGACCCTAACAGCCCCGTGAGCCACAAGAGACACATCCCCGCCAATTTCTAGCGTTTCACGGGGTCTATCCGTGAAAAATATAGACGTTTTTGAGTGCACATGCATTTCTGCTGCAGATGCCTCTGGAAGTTTCATGCCGTTCGTACGCAATGTGGCAACACGAAAATGACCCCTTTTCCCATTCCGAGGGATTTCTGTGCGACCCTAACTAACAGCGCCCGTGAGCCACAAGAGAGACATCCCCGCCAATTTATAGCGTTTCACGGGGTCTATCCGTGAAAAATATAGACGTTTTTGAGTGCACATGCATTCCTGCTGCAAATGCCTCTGGAAGTTTCATGCCGTTCCTATGCAATGTGGCCACACAAAAATGACCCGTTTTCCCATTCCGAGGCATTTCTGTGCGACCCTAACAGCCCCGTGAGCCACAAGAGAGACATCCCCGCCAACTTCTAGCGTTTGACGGGGTCTATGCGTGAAAAATATTAAAATTTTTGAGTGCACGTGCCTTTCTGCTGCAAATGCCTCTGGAAGTTTCATGGCGTTCCTATGCAATGTGGCAACACGAAAATGACCCCTTTTCCCATTCCGAGGGAGTTCTGTGCCACCCTAACAGCCCCGTGAGCCACAAGAGACACATCCCCGCCAATTTCTAGCGTTTCACGGGGTCTATCCGTGAAACATATAGAAGTTTTTGAGTGCACATGCATTCCTGCTGCAAATGCCTCTGGAAGTTTCATGCGGTTCGTACGCAATGTGGCAACACGAAAATGACCCGTTTTCCCATTCCCAGGGATTTCTGTGCGACCCGAACAGCCCCGTGAGCCACAAGAGACACATCCCCGCCAATTTCTAGCGTTTCACGGGGTCTATCCGTGAAAAATATCAATTTTTTTTTGACTGCACATGCATTTCTGCTGCAAATGCCTCTGGAAGTTGCATGCGGTTCGCATGCAATGTGGCGACACGAAAATGACCCGTTTTCCCATTCCGAGGGATTTCTGTGCCACCCTAACAGCCCCGTGAGCCACAAGAGAGACATCCCCGCCAATTTCTAGCGTATCACGGGGTCTATCCGTGAGAAATATTCACTTTTTTGAGTGCACATGCATTCCTGCTGCAAATGCCTCTGGAAGTTTCATGCGGTTCGTATGCAATGTGGCGACACGAAAATGACCCGTTTTCCCATTCCGAGGGATTTCTGTGCCACCCTAACAGCCCCGTGAGCCACAAGAGAGACATCCCCGCCCACTTCTAGCGTTTCACGGGGTCTCTCCGTGAAAAATATCACATTTTTTGAGTGCACATGCATTCCTGCTGCAAATGCCTCTGGAAGTTTCATGCGGTTCGCATGCAATGTGGCGACACGAAAATGACCCGTTTTTTCCCATTCCGAGGGATTTCTGTGCCACCCTAACAGCCCCGTGAGCCACAAGAGACACATCCCCGCCAATTTCTAGCGTTTCACGGGGTCTATCCGTGAAAAATATTCAATTTTTTGACTGCACATGCATTTCTGCTGCAAATGCCTCTGGAAGTTTCATGCGGTTCGCATGCAATGTGGCGACACGAAAATGACCCGTTTTCCCATTCCGAGGGATTTCTGTGCCACCCTAACAGCCCCGTGAGCCACAAGAGAGACATCGCCGCCAATTTCTAGCGTTTCACGGGGTCTATCCGTGAAAAATATTCACTTTTTTGACTGCACATGCATTCCTGCTGCAAATGCCTCTGGAAGTTTCATGCCGTTCGCATGCAATGTGGCAACACGAAAATGACCCGTTTTCCCATTCCGAGGGATTTCTGTGCCACCCTAACAGCCCCGTGAGCCACAAGAGACACATCCCCGCCAATTTCTAGCGTTTCACGGGGTCTATCCGTAAAAATGTAGCACGCACCAAAACGAGAAAAGATTTCCATCGCACCTGCACTATTGTATGGACAATGGTAACCTCATGTGAGGACGAAGTGGTGTGCCGGCGGCAGGTTGTTTCCCACGATTTCCGTGAATGAGCGAGCATCTCGAGCTGTGTTACTCCGCCCGAGGAGCCTCTTCTCCTCCAGAGTGCGTTGGGAAGGCTGTCCCTTGGGTTGTAGCTGCAGGGTTTGCTTGCGCTGTTTCGGTATTGTGCCCTAGGAAGGGCTGCCAACTGCGCGTGAGAGTTAGGGTTGGTTTCAATTGCTTTTGCCGGTCCACAGAGTAGCGAGCATTGAAAGGCCGCTCTAGAGGTGTGCAGGC